ATTTTAACAGTTCTAACCAACAATGTGAAAATAATATCTCAGTCACTGCTATTAAATCTTGCTCCTGTGATCAAACCAGTTGCTACTCATTAGAAAATCGTTTAATCCATATTTTTGGCATATTTAGTCCTGGAGGGATCAATATTCAACACAGCTTAATTCTTCTTCTCTTCTCTTCTTTCGTTCGCATGAAATAAATTGTCTATATCTGCAAAGCCGTCTCTAGTATGAATTTCACTGTCTTTTGTAATTCACTAAGCGGCCCGTAAAGTTTGACTTCCACAAGTGTCTCTTTTGGCCAAAGGTTTTGCCTGAAAGCGTTGAATCTGGGACAGTCTTGAAGGATGTGATCTGTTGTTTCGGGTGCCAGTCCACAAGTACACATGGCTGATTGGCCAATCTTAAATTTGTTGTACATGTGGGAGCGAAGTCGATTGTGCCCTGTTCTAAGGCGAAGGATAATGACTTGCTCTGGTCTGTCCATAATATGGTAATCATCTTGTGCCAGTTTCGGTGGCATTCTGATTGATTTGATCATTCTCTTCTTCTGTTGATAAGAGACTGGTATTTCAGGTTGTTCTTCAGTTGCACCTTCCTTAGCTAGTTTATCAGCTTTTTCGTTTCCAGGAACTCCACAGTGGGAAGGTATCCACTGCATTACTAATTTACAGCGGTTGCCTAGTTCGGATAAAAGGTCCGTATGCTTGGTAATTTTCCAGACTGGAGTGACTGAAGTACTGCTTTTGCATCTGTCAGGAATACCACTGGTTGTGAAAAATACCCTGTATTTAGTAGTTTCTCTACCGCTATCTTGATGGCTTGAACTTCTGCATCATAATTGTGACAGTGCTTTCCCGTTGGTAATTTGGCTGTATCCCTGGTATTATTAGGATACTCAATGTACACTCCTGCACCTCCGTTTCTGACTGCGCTTTCTGCTGACCCATCTGTGTAAACACGGACCCAAAAGTTCTGCGGGTATTCATCATCAAGTAGACTGAGTGTGGCTGTTTTGCGCTGCACGCTGTTTTGTTCTTCCTTGTCAAATACCCCTTTCACTTCAGTCTTGATGTGTACTGGAAACTTATACTCCTCTCTCCAGGGGGTCCGTTCTGGGACAGCATTTAAGGATCTATCAGTTGCAGGTAAATCAGTGGTTTGTCTGCCGAGCCGTTTGGCCTGGTGGATAAAACTACTTCTCTTTAGTCGTCCCAAAGCTAAATTTTTGAATCTTTCATTCATAGGGTGACTGGGCATACTAAGAAACTTTTCTGCTCGTAAAAGCATCTTGGTGTCTCTGCGTTCACTCAGTGCTTGGGTCATCCCCATTTTCTCCATCACAGCTATAAGTGTTGATTTCATACTGCCTGTGGTAACTCTGAGTGCTTGATTTTGCACTTTGTCTAATTCTTGCAATGTGGTTTTTGATGCCGAAATCCATGCTGTTGATCCGTATTCAAGATGTGGTCGAACACTTTGTTGGTAAACTTTTCTAAGTATTTTCCCGCTAGCACCCCATGTGGTTCCACTTAGTTTTCTCAGAATGGCTACCCTTCTTCTGGCTTTGGTTGCTGCCTTGTTGATGTGTTTTCTCCATGTTAATCTATCATCAAACGTTACTCCGAGGTATGTGGGCTCCTTATCCTCTCTCAGGGGTACTCCATTTATGTGTATGACGCCTGATTTTTGTTTAGGAGAAAGGGTAAAGAGGGTGGTGCTGCATTTGCCTATGTTGATGCTGACACACCATTTGTCGGCCCAATCAGCCATTGCATCTATGGCTCTTTGTAGCAGTCTGGTGGCCACTGTCGCATTTTCATTTGTACACCAGAGTACCAAGTCATCAGCATACATTGCAGCTTTAATTCCATGGGGTAGTTCAGAAAGCAGGTCGTTGATATAGACTAGGAAGAGTGTGGGGAACAGGACACCTCCTTGTGGGACGCCATGGCGCAGCAAAACTTTCTTACTCTTAAGTCCATCTATCTGTACTCTGGATCTTCTGTTATACAAGTATGCTTTCACCCATTTGTACATACTCCCATTCACCCTGCAGTCTCTCAGTTTCTTCAGTAGACCTTCTTTCCAGACCTTGTCAAAGGCTTTCTTCAGATCTATCCATGCCGTTAGCACTAGCTTCTTTTCCTGGAAGGCATCCTCAATTTCTTGTGAAAGGTAAGTTGTCTGGTCTTCTGTGGAGTAGCACTGTCTAAATCCTGCCTGCTGCGGCGTGAAAATGTTTTCACTTTCCAAGTACCATTGGAGTCTAAGGTTGACAATACGTTCCATTGTTTTACAGAGGCAGCTGGTAAGACTGATCGGTCTATAGCTGGAGGCATCAGAACTGTCCTTTCCTGTTTAAGCAGAGGTATTGTGATTGCTTCTCTCCATATTTGAGGAACTTTGCCACTTGTCCAACAATGATTAAAGATCTGTAGCAGCTTTATTTTGGCAGTTGCTCCAAGGTTCTTGATCATTTCGTTGGTGATTCCATCAGTTCCAGGTGATTTTCCCATTCTCAGCTTTGATATTGCTAGCTCTAACTCGCTAGATGTAAATGCTGCCACCAGTGCCTCAGGAATTATATCTTTTTGTCTTGTATGTTGTTTGTTTTCTCGAACCTCTCGCTGTTTCTCTGGGCTGACATTAATGTTGCTGTCTTCTGCAAAAGAATCTGCAAAGTGGTCAGCTGCCTGTTTTCTTGTTAGGATGGCTCCCTCTTTGCATAGTGCAATATTACCATTTCTTCCTGTATTCTCATCATTAATTTGCTTAATTAACCTCCACAACTTCCTTGTGTCTCTTTCAAAGTTTAGAGACTTTGTCTTTTCCTGCCAGCTTCTCCGTCTAGCCTGCAGTTTGGCTCTTTGAAATTTGGCCTTTGAGTGTTGGTAGTTGTTAAACTGCTCTTGACAAGGTCTGGTCTCAGCTTGTTTTTCTTTCTGTTTCCATATTGTTGTGCAGTTGCTCCAGATCGCAATTCCAGTACGGTTTGTATTGTTTACGCGCACCTCTTGGAACTGCTTCTAGGGCTGCCTGCAGCATGTGTTTGCTCAACTCTTGGACTACTTTTTCCACGTCGTTATCTGTGTTCAGATTTTCCAGCAGAACATTTGTGCGAAGCTGATATAACTTCCAGTCTGCCTTCTTAAAATTCCACCTTGGCAGTGTGCTGCTCTCTCTTACAGTCTGGCTTTCGATAGTTAGAAAGACTGGCCGGTGGTCACTGCCTCCTAGTTGCTTCCCAACAGTTCTGGTAAAATTCAGTTCCATGTCTGCTGAGTGAAAGGCTAGGTCTGGTGTCGAGGTGGTATGCCATGCTCTAGAGTAGAAGGTTGGTGGGTCGGTTGGCTTATTAACGAGGATGAACCTATTCTCATCCTGCCAGTCCTCTAGTTTCTCTCCTCTCTGGTCCATATGATCATAGCCCCAACTTTGGGAATGGCTATTAAAATCCCCACAAATGATAATTTTTTCATTTATTAGTACTGTATCCAGTGCCTGAGGGCGGTCGCTCGGACAGTAATAGTTGGTCAGATGTAAATCTGTATTTTCTAACTTGAGCTCAAGAGTTTGATACTCAGCACCTTCCATGTATGTTTCGATCCGGCCCGCAAGGATGTTATTTTTTACCAGGGTAAGAATTCCACCTTTTCTCCTGTCTTTGCGGTCAAATCGAAAATACTGGTAGCCTCTGATCTTAAAGATCATATCTTGTTTGAGATACGTCTCTTGTAGGCAGCATACATGTATATTCTCTTCGTTCAAGACGTTTTCTAATTCTAATTTCTTGGTATTTACTCCCTCCGCGTTCCAGTGCATTATTTTAAGGCTAGCTGTATTTTCTGCTTTTCTGGTTCTACGGGGTATTAGGGGGAGGCTTCGAGTATTTGAAGCTGGACTCTTTCTTCTTGTCGTAGGCCGGTAAATCGAACCACGTGTACGTGAGTGGGTCACATGGTGGAAATCAAACTTATTTGTAGATATAGAAATATTCCCTGTTGCGTTTGTGCGTGGCATCCTGATTGCTGTGGTGCGCCTCCTGGCTGGTTGCCTCCGACTTCAGCACCTTGTTTTGCTAGAGTAGACTGGGGTCTTACCCGTGGACTCCCATGTTTATAATGGGAGCGTGGCTCCTACGCGGTTACATTATCGGAATTAGGACACGGCCGCCGCCGTGGCTATTTTGTGTAAATAATTCCGTTATAACACCCCTAAACCACATAATACTTGTATCCACGAACAAGAGAATATCCATCGTCAATGAATTAGTAATAATTGCACTCTGTTATCAAGAGAAAAACACAGATTAAGTGAACATTTTTGAATAAAATCGTGTGTCGCCGCAAACACGTCTTCACGCTGCCATTTCTAAACCGGAAGTCACAGCTTAATTTAATTTATTTAACTTAATCATACCCCCCCCCCCCCCCCCCCCCCCCCCCCCCCCCCCCCTTCCTTTTTTTTTTTAAATTCGCGTTCTTACTTATTTCATTTTATAGTATAGCCTTTCATTTTTATATTTTTTTTCTGTCTATTACATACCTCTTGGTTTGCATGTTTACCTTGGTTTTATATTAGCTGTATTATCTTGTCCGTTGAATTTTCCAGTCACAGTTTGTGCTCTATTTAGTATTCCATTGATAAAGACTTCAGTCGAAATGTTCGGTTATGTTTGTGTGCAACTTGTCCATTTTTTCCGTTGAGCTTTCTAATCACATTTTGTGTTATGTTCAGCATTTATTTCATCTCTTTAAGTTGTACTCCAGATTTTAGAGCCATATAGGAATATGAATAGTTTAAATCGGTAAAACTGAAAGCAAACAAAAGAAATGCCAGAGTTATGATATTGACACATATATTAATTATATTACTTATTCATCCACAGACAAGAATTCAGCAGTGGGCTTATACTGAATAAAGCAGAAATAAAAAGAATTAAACATCTGTTCAACAAGCTTTTAAGATTTATATTTGACCATCTTGTCCATTGACACAAGATGGCTGCCCGCCCAAAGTCATGCATATCAGTAAGTTTTATTGCATGCTTTTTGTATGTATTGACTTGATAAAACATGACCTATATTTTGTAGACAATCAGTCAGCATCACACTGGCCATCTTTACTTCCCAATAATTTACTTGCTACCCGTTTTAGGGCGAGGACAAACTACGGGACAACAAAATCTGACTTAATTTGGGTTTGAACCTATGTCCTTTTTGCCTGAGTTGAGCATCTAGCCCCAACACCCCGCACATGTGAAATCTTAATTTTATCACGAAACAATATCAGCTCAAATGAGAGGCAGAATTAGTCTGTTTCACAGTAACACACTCATGAACAACAAAATGGACATTGAGGCTTAAAAAGACTTGATTAGCATTAAAAAAAAAAGAAGCCATGGAAAATAATGCTTTAATTGGTCTGGCATTTTATAAAAACCCTAGGAGCGTCAGTGGTGTAGTACCCAGCATGCTTCCCTGACAGCCTAGAGTTTTATGTCCAAATTTCCCCGTAGGGGCCAAGATTTTGTTTAAAAACTAAACTGGTCTCAACTGCCTGGTCAGTATGGCTTAAAATGGGTGCCAGGAAGTGTTATGGGAAGTAAAGGCTGCTGGAATGATATTGACTGCATCACATTTCGAATACCAATTGGTCTGGAAAAATATGGGGCTAGCATCATATACCTAAAGTGTATCAAGGTGTGAGCTTGTGAGAAGGGGGTCCTTGAACTATTTTATGATTTTCATTCTGTGTGATAAAGAACAGGCATGTTAATCATGAATAGACAGAATTAAATGGTATGATAGAACCACTAATGGAGAGCTTTGGGAGAGAACTAAATGAATTCCAGTGGACCAAGAGGGGAAGAAAAGACGCTGGTGTTGGATAGGACACGTTAAGAAAACCTGAGAACAGTATAGCAAAATAATATCTTTGCACTGGAACAGACAGGGGCATAGAAATACAGAAAGACCCAAAAACACACAGAGAAGGCAGCTAGAAAGCAAAGTTAAAAGATAGGAAGGACATGGGGATAGCTGCATGCGATGGTGAGGGATAGAACCACTTGGTGTTAGTTGGTTAAGGGCCTATGCTCAATTGGGGGTAAGAAAGGCGCAAGAAGAATGTTAATCATGCAGCAATTTATGTTTGGAATGTGCCCAGTCTGTTCACTTTCAAAGGTTTTCTTCATCTATGTTTACCCTAACAAGAGGTTGGTACATGTTGTGATGGTTTACAGCTCGGCCATGATGTCTGCACTTTTGAGCCCAGCACACATGGTTTAAACACATTCTTAATTAGTCAGTCACCTGTTACAAGATGATTGTTACGGGGCAGTTGGGTGACCCAGCCTCAAATAGTTATCAGATATAGTCCTGGGAAGTAAAGATGATGGGCATCAGGTTGACCACACCACATACTGAGTGCCAGTTGGTCTATAAAATATAGCCTTGTGTGCTCAGTTTACCTGAAGATAAAGTATATATTTTTTTTTTTACCCCCCAAAAATGGGAACCCACCAAAGAATTATAATGTTTTGATATGCCTTTGTTAAAGACTATGATCACAGTACACAATATTTCTACCCACATCTTTAAGCTATTTTTGCAATAGCATTAGAAACCGCTGTAAGTTTCAGGCTGACTGTCAGTTGTTTGTCAAAACTAATTACAGTTTGAACAAGCTTTACTCTGTTGTATGATATTTTAGAAAACATTGTGACCATAAATATGCTGCCAAGCATCATACGTTGTAATAAGATTAAGCTAGTCTTTAAAAATCATAAGGTTAAAATATTTTTGTTGTTGTGTGTTCATCGTCATCAAGTGCCTTACCAGCTGGTGTGGGCATTCATGCATCTCCACAGATCTCAGCCTCTGGTGTTTTTGATCAGTTCCACTGACGATATCCCTTCATTCCACTGTCTTAAGCCAATTACCATCATTTCTCTTGATCTGCCTCTGCCTCTGCCAGTGATCTTTTTAATTGTCACAATATTTTCCAGTGCTCTTTTTCTCATCACACGACCAAAGAACTTTGTCTTCTTCTCATTGTTGTATACAATCTTTTATTTTCATTAACTATTTAGAGGCAATTATTGTTAGTTTTTCTGGCAGTCCAAGGTATTTGCAACATTTTTCTCAAGAACCACCTCATTTGTCTCCACTCTTCTTAATTTGTTTGCTCACATTCCAAGATTTACTGCCATACAACAGAACAGGCTCAATATAACATTTAAGTACTCGTTTTCCGATGTTTAATGAGAGTAATTTATTGCATAAGATACTTTTTATCTTCTGAAATGTTGCCTTTGCCTGGCGAATTCTGCTCTAAATTTTTGTCACATATTGTCCATCTGATGTTGTGAATGTCCCCCAAATACTTGAATTTATTGACTTGGTTATGCATTTTCCCTTCTATTGCTATGTCACATTTTGAAGTTATCTTCATTTTTGATATGACCATTGTTTCTTCCTTTTTAATATAACCATTGTTTCTTCCTTTTTAATTTAACCATTGTTTCTTCCTTTTTTAATAAAACCATTGTTTCTTCCTTTTTAATATAACCATTGTTTCTTCCTTTTAATATAATCATTGTTTCTTCCTTTTTAATATAACCATTGTTTCTGTTTTCTTGACATTCAAGGAAAGTCCTTTTTTTTTTTGCAGTCTCGTACTGCAATGTCTGGTATTTGTTATAGGTCTTCTGCGTTTTCAGCTATTAATACTGTATCATCTGCATTACAAAGATTGTTTATATGTTACTTCTGTTTGGCCTAATCTTTACAACTCCTATTTATCAAGGTATTTTTTTTTACACACACAACGTGTAAAAATAGGTCCTGTTTGTCATCATCATCATCAGTTTCCCTTTTGCCATTAAGTGCTGATGGAGAAACAGCTTGCCATCCATTGCTTAATAGGTAGCAATGGCAAATGTCATTATAAGTTGACGAAGAAGCTCTTTGTCATCAGTGCATCTTCTCCTAGGGCAGCCTGTTTGTCATATGCGTCAGTAAAGTTAGACAGTTGCTTTAGTATTCCAGACTCAGGATGGCCTGACCTGGCTGGGTGTCGTTTCATAAAAATGATTCCTATCTCTGGATAAAAACCTGGTACATTTGAAGACAAGTGTCCTATCTCTAAACAACCCACACCATAAGCCTGAAAATGTAAATACCTTGCAAACATGTGTATATCTTCAGCCACCATGCAAATGTCATTTCACAACATAAAAAAAAATAAAAAGACATAATTTTCTTGTCACTCCGCAGATTGATACAGATGTTAATCTTGACTTTCTCACAAAAGAAGAGAAGGAAGCTCTTCTTTCTAAAAAGATGGATATGATTCGCCAGAGAAATAAAGCTCTCACAGAGAGGCATCAGGTGAGTTCTAGCAAGTCATCAACTGCACCGCAGACTCTTTGAAACAGCAGCCACATTAACTCTTTCAGGATCACATTTTTTCTCGGGTTGGGACAGCATTAATTTTGAGCAGAATTTTTTTTTACTGCACACAACAAAGCTAAAACCTTCCTGAAGAAAAAGTATTGACTGTATCGGGACAAATAATATATCAAAATAAAGATAAAAGAGTACAGAATAAATCTGCAGAATAAATGTCAGTATTACAACATATTATTAAAATCACACAACATTCAAGGATGTAGACACATATGAAGATTATTGACAAACAAATTTTTGTGCTCACCTTACTTTTTACTTGTTCAACAACACTGCTATCCAATTCTAAGAATGCACATGTCTTCTCTGTTCAGTTATGTATCAGCCAGTCTTTATAGAAAACAATTAATTTAAATACTTTGGATGTTATGATCATTTTTGTATGACATGTCAAATTTAACAACTAAAAATCAGGAAAGCAGCTGATCGAAACATTGATCCGAATGAAATATTTTGTTAAATTTTCATATCCTAAACTAAATTATCACCAATAGGTTTGTCACTTAGATACCAATCATAATATCAAGACTGTTGTCAACATCTGGTAGAGATTCATCAATGACAGAGCAGTATGAGCAGTTCTAGACCTTTTCCCTTATCATTTAGTATAGAAAAATTACTTTAAAATTGTATTCAAACTAAATAATTTTAAACAAATCAGAAAATAATGCACTAACCACGATGAATTTCGCAAATGAAAGGACTTCTTGTTGTTAATCCTTATTGTTAAAAAAAGTGTTCATAAAATTTTGTTTTCGCCACAAATGGAACAAAATTAGAGTGTCTCTATCTTACACCAGTATACTGGCGATTCGTTCATTAGGGACAAATTTATTCGCCAGTATAATGGCGATACGTCTTTAAAGAGTTAAGAATAAGTGATTTTATTATTTTGAAGAAAACAGAAAAAGTTAGTTGCCTATCCTTTACAGGAGGTTACAGAAGCAACTGCAGTATTTATGTTTTGTTTTCACTGGGCATTTTTACATTCAGCAGTTTGTTTTGTCCTTAAGAAAGAAAATATTTTGTTTTAAGCTGAAATACTATAGAAAGATTCTCAGAATACCATGGACAAAGAAGAGAAGAAATATTGACATTTTAAAAGATCTAAACATTAAGGAAGATTGGCTAATAAATGTATATGGTCTTAGAAGCTGATATATTTTAGTCATATCAAGCGCCATGGCTGATTGGAAAAAAATAATAGCAGAAAGCAAGTTATCAGGAAGGAGGGGCAAGGGCCGACCAAAAGAGGCTCCTCCTGGATGGCCGAGGCAGAAAATGTAATCCAGCATGTGCCCTAGACGAGATCAGTCACGGAAAAGAATGGACAGATACACCAGTAGACCTGCATGACTTTTCTAAGGTTGTCATAACACTGGGGAGGTACTGCAGCAATCAGATACCTGCCATCGTGGATGCCGAGATTAGAACACTGATTGATCAGCACTCATGCCCAGTAGACATCGTCATTTACACAGATGGGTCATTGAAGCGCGGGACAAGATCAGCATGGGCATACACAGCACAAAGGATGGCAAAAACAATAAAAGAGGATAGCCCTGCTTACCAAATGACTACGTCAAGCAGGACCATGGAGATAACAACTGCGACTAGAGCACTCCAGTGGGTAGCAGAACAAGCGGCCACACATTCAGAAAGTGATTGATTTACAGGGTTTTCAATTATCAGTTATTCCTTTATGTCCAAAATAATGTCTATTTTTGTTTGTTGTTTTTTCATCAGCAGTCAGCTTTTGCTTTGCTTAGCCGATGGAATTGAGCAGCTACATATGTGTATAGAATGCAGTAGTGACTTTATGTAAAAAGTTGCTGTCTAATATTTTGTTTGGGTATTGGTTTTTGTGTGTGGGTCTTTTACATGGGAAATGTAGGTGTCTGTGGCTTAGGCCTTGCAAACGTGCTTCCTAATGCCGGGGTACCGGGTGCGATCCCAGCTGCGGGCCTTGCGCCCTACGTTGGTTTTGACAGTAGTATTGAGAAGCCGACCATCCAGAAAGCAATGGCAAACTACTGGACGTAAATGTACCTAGAAAAACCACAACAGGGAAAAATGCTGGGGTTGGTTCTGTAACCTCCTGTAAAGGATACGCAACTAACATGGGAAACAGAATCAGTTCAGTTGTACAACTTGGTCACAGCTGATTCCCTTTTCAGTGAGAAGCTGAGACATTTCAGTTTTACAACATTATCACTGCTGTTTTCCAGTTGATTGAAGCAGACAAGAAGAAGGCAGAGGATGCAGGGCAAGCAGTGAAACCTACAGTAGATAGCCAGGTTAGTATATACATCTTAAGTATATACAGCTGTATGTATGTATGTGTGCGTACGTGTGTGTGGGTGTGTATGCATGCATGCACATTATGTGTCACTTATTAGTCACCTTCTTTATATACATTTATTAATTAAAATGTATGCTCTCTCTTTTTTCTGTTTCTTTCTTTCTCCCTTTATTGTTTCCCTCCTCTCTCCCTCCCTTCCTCTTTCTAATTTACCATTCTACCACTCTTCCTCCTCTTTCTCGCTCTCTTACTCTCTCTCTCTCTCTGTGTCTGTCTCTCACTTACTTTGCTTGAATAAGTTAACTGTTCTTGAAAATACTAACACTGTATCATGTTTCGAGATTTTTGTGTGTATCTGCAACATAGGGTAAGATAGTTTTTTGGAGTTATATGGGTTCCTCTTGTTAAACAACAACATTTTTGAATGTGTTTTTTTTTCTGCTTTTATTTCAATAGGCTAAACAGGTTAAGGATTTTAAACTGGCTCCAAGTGTTAAATTATTTTATAAATTAAGACTTAAATTTCAGGCCTGATAAAAAAGTTTGTTGAAAACAAATTGCGGCGTACAGTGAAAAACAAATTGATTGTTATAAACATGCAGTAGGTGAACAAAATAAACAACCACTGTCCACACCATGAGACTTATTGGGCACTAACTGTTAATACTGATACACATTCCTCTAACTACTTAAGTATTGATTTATATTCCTCTCAATATTTGACCCCAACTATTAAATAACCCATATATTCCTTTGAATATCAGATCCTATTTAATATTATCTACCTACATTCTTGTCACCCTAACTCATCAACATCCTCATACTACAATCTTAAATGCTTACTCTGCATAAATGTGTTCCATTCAAGTGCTGTACAGTGAGCAGACTAATGTGACCTTAGTCATTTCCTCATGTACTACACATGATACAGCCCTTCTTTAATCTGACCTTGCTTGTGTATGAAGCAGATCGATAAACCAAAACATATACTGTAGCTGTCATTCCATAGTTTGTCACCCTTTGACCTTTGGTACCCATCGTTATCAATCCCTGCAAGTATCTAGCACAGCTGCCAGATAGCTTGTCCTAGTTAAATTCATTTTTGCTTAGTTGGTGTTATTGTAGTGTACCTTGTTGTACTAGCAGGTCATTTTTGTATAAGTTACAGTAGAGACTAGAACAAAAAATCACCATGGTAAAGGTAGCTTTGTTCAAAATAGAACAGATACACATCAACATTTGGAGTGTTGAAGTGCAATATAGAACCTGTATTGTTGTATGCGTAAGAAGCAACGAAGCATCATGGTAACAGTAATGTGAGAGATAAACTCGAAAACCTTGTGAAAACTAGCGAACTTGATAGAAAAAAAAGAGCAAGTGGAAGACCCAGATAGCTTGACCATATGGCATAAGTGAGACAGGAGCACAGAGCAGATCTGAGAAAATGGTGATCATGTGAGATAACAACACATAACTGTCCAAATTTAGTCACATAGCACAAGACTGTGATTAGTTATTTTGAATTCTACATTGTTTTACTAGTCAAGGTCAATTCTGTAACATTATTTATGTGTTATTTTCAGTTGTACATCTTTATATTTTTCTTTAGTGTTTTATTCCAAATTGCCACCTTACTTTTCTGTTGTCACATCTGCAGTGTTGGGTTTAGGAACTCAGTTTTAAAATTCAGGAATACATGGTTTGATTCAGCTGCAGGCGATTAGGCAGTAGAGGAAGATTGAATCCTTTCATCTCAAGCACCTGCAAGACTGACACTTCTAGTTGTCCAAATCCCTGTAAATGTCGCTTTACCGACTTGATTATACAGACCTGTTTAGGCATGTTTAATGCTATTGGCTGTTTTTGGGTGGAACTTTTGAGCCAAAAAGCTTTTTTTAAAGCCAAGATGACATCACCTTTTCCCTTAAGCCTCAGGGATAGGGTTATGGGGTCACAGCATGAGTCACCTGATAAATATGTTCTGTAGGCCCATGAAATGTATTCCATTGAATGCTTTGCACAATTCATGTTTACTGATTGATACAAGTTTGACAAATTCAATAGTGACTTATGTAAATAAAAAATAAAGACAATTTTTCTGGAGCCATGACCCCCTTTTTTTTAGTGTTACTTATGTGAGAGTGTTATTGCTGTTGTTATTCATGTTTATAATCTTGTAAAGGGAACCAGTGCTCACATTAATTCAATTATGGCTTTTAGTGCTGTATATACATAACTGGTTTACTCTGGCTAGATCAGCTGTTTGTGCAATTTTGTTCTCACTTCTGACATGTTCCTTTATCATGTTGTTTAATATATCTGAAGAATTTGAACTCAGGTACTGTAGAGAATTGATGAATGCATTTAAATCATCTTCAGCATTACATGGAAAACAGCTGAAACAGTTGTTACTAATCAACTACAAACATCCATTAATTGGTGCGTGCGCACAGTAGAGAAAATTAAATTGTATGATAGAATCACTAATGTGGAGCTGTGGGAGAAACCTAAACAAATTCCAGTAAATCAGGAGATGAAGAAAAGACGCTGGTAATGGATAGGGCACGTGTTGAGAAGACCTGAGAGCAGTATAACTAGAATGAAAGCCTTTGCACTGGAACCCATAGCATCATAGAAATAAAGGTAAGCGCCCCCCCCCCACTCCCCCCCCCCCCAAAAAAAAAAGGCATGGAGTAAAGAATGAAGTTAATCAGATGGGGTTGACTTGGGGTGAGCTGCATGTGATACCAACAGATAGGATGCATTGATTTGAGTTGGTTGATTGGAATAAAGGGCAGAAAAAAGAAAAGTTACATCAGTGACTGCATTTAATTCAACTTAAGAGTTACATTGATGACTGTTTAGTTAACATCGATATCCATGATTAAATTGCTCAGTATTGTACGGTTATATTATTACAAAAAAGAAAGAAAAAAAGAACAAATGAGATGGTTTGGCCACCTGACGAGAATACCTTGGTACCAACTGCCACAGAGAGCCACAATTAAGAAATATTATGAACACAGAGCAAGGGGAAGACAACACAAGATATGGAGCATCATCATCAGGAGCAATCTCACAGAAATGAACACCAACTTGTACAATGCATTGAAAAATAGAGCACAAACGATCCTGATATTTCCCTCCCCCCCCACCCCCCCACCCCAACACATCACTGAGGTAAATGGTGGAAGAGAAGAAGAAGAAGAAGCAAAAATAGATACATATTTAGACATTGCGTGAAAGGTCAAGATCATGCACTTGACTTGTTTACATTTTTCTGTTAGATGTTGCCTGCAGAAGGTGCCCCTAAACCTAGAGGCAGAGGAAGAGGTCAAGCACACAGTAAAGATGGTAACAGACCTATGAAAGAAAGACCCAAATCATCAGGGGTATGTTGTTAAAAGCTGCAGTTTAAATATGTTTTTTCCTGACTTGAATATCTTCTTCTTCTTCCTTCACCAACAGTAAGCTCCGGCGGAAAGTCCTGGTTGTTTATCCATGTGGACTTTGGCTTTGTGTCAGGATCTGAGTTTTGCACGTAGATCCATTTTACTGGCTTATTTGTGTGCTATTAGTTGTTCTTAGCCGCTCAGGCAGATGCACTCCGACTTCAAAGGAGTCTCAGCTAGTCAACTCCTACAACATGCTTATTGGGGAGACAGTGGGTCTATTCTTTTTTTTTCTCACAATGGGGCCCTAGAACCCACAGTTCCTCTTCAAGTTGTCCATTCATTAGACTCAGGGGATTTAACCTGTTTCTTAACTATGAGTCACATGTGTCCCTTGACATTCTGGGAAATCTACAATTTTTGTTTGTAATGATGATTTTTTATGTTAAATCACATGTACAGAGTAGATATAGATATAGCATTAGGAGGAGATTGAGGCAATGACAAAGGGTCTTAAATGTCTAAAAAACTTCATTTTTTTCATAATCCTTCTGGCCTTGAAAGAGATAAAAGAGGAGAGAAATAACATCAGGGTTTCATCCCACATTGCCTGATCTGTCTGTGCAGAGCAGCTGTTCACTCGCCAAGAGTACCGTACAAATAAAATACTTTGTTATTCATGCAGTGACCCTTTTGGTCTCTGTTTGCAACACTTACCCTTGTGAATTGTACAACAGTCTAAAACTGAACTCATAATCTCTCAAGTATGAAGCAGCTTAACTTCTTAATGAAGAAGGCCCTCATTATAGTTTGTTCCAATAGTCCTGTCCAACTTCAAAAATCTGTAACTCGGTAACCGTCCAGTGTATATTGTTGAAAATTGGCATAGAGCCTGATAATAATAATGTCCTTGTAAAAATTTAAAAAAAAAAAAAAAAAAAATATATAAACAGACATTAAGTTTTCATTCTGCCTTATTTGCGGAATAGGAAAAGACAAGACAACAATTCAAAGCAGCCAGTAAGCTTACAGTAACTGAGTAAGGTGAATTTATCAAAACATCTTATTGCTTGAATTTTATGGGTGTTTCACTCTCATGTGGTCATCCCTAGCAGTTGCCTCCTGTGAGTTGTTAGATGAACACAGTTTTTCAATATATGCCATATCATCATCATCATCATCGTGTAGCAGGTCCTTTGCAGAACGTCGCTCTTATCACGGTCTGCCTGAAAGAAACTCGGTCTCTCGCCAGCTCTCCCGCCTTATGTACTTTCATACTTATGGAGTCAGTTATATCCTGTGCCCATCTTCATGTTGGTCAGCCCTGCCCCTCCTTCCTGGTACCATGCCTTCTACTATAATTTTTTCCAATCTGTCGTGCTGCTTTATATGACCAAAATATTTCAGCTTCCGAGACAGGATGCTGTTTATTAGCCAATCTTCCTTGATGTTCAGATCTTTCAAGATGTCAGTATTTATCTTCTTTTTTGTCCAAGATATTCTGAGAATCTTAGGCTATCCAAATAATCTCCACACATCACAGCACATGTAAACTAATTTCCATTTTATCTCCACACAGATTCTCCACTATATTCAGTTTTTATTAGGGGCACACAATTTATTAGTCAAACAAAGATCAAGAAATTTGCAGCTTTAAGAAAACAGCAGCGCATGTGCAACTGTAAATTATACAATCATAAGTATATGGGAAATGTAAAGCCGCATACACAAATTTGTGCTGATCTGTAGAGACTTTCTGAGACTGGTTGAAGTGGGAGGGCACGAGTTTTGAAACGCACTATAGTAAAAGATTTTGATACAAACATTCTATCAGGCCTAGTGTAACTTGACTATCTTTTACCTTTCATGTCTGCTAGGATCTAAGAGATTCGTCAAATTATGAGCCCATAGTTGATACAACAGATCTGGCTAACTACAGAAGTAAAGGTCATAGTGGGCTGCATGAGAGGGAGGCACCAAACAATATACAGAAAAGCAAAAAGAAATCAAAAGAAGAGGTTTGTACTAAGCTAACTTTGTAATTCTTGTAGTGCATGAAAAAAAACAAGTATGTATTTCTTTATCAGTTAGTTTGTTATTCATAAGCTCACCTCTCCAACCTAAGTAATAGTTGATTGTTCTGTTAGATGTTTCACATTATGTTTCACTGTTCTTTTGGATTTCACATCATGCTTCATTGTTCTCTTCTGTTAGATGTGTCACATCATGTTTTATTATTCTGTTGGATATGTTCTCTTGAATGTCACATCATACGACATCGTTCTGTTAGTGTGTAACATCATGTGTCATTGTACTGTTGAATATGTCACATTATCTTTTATTGTTTTGTTCGATGTCACTTCATACTTCATCATTCTATTAGATGTGTCACATCATCTTTTATTGTTCTGTTGGCTGTCACATCATATTTCATTGTTCTGTTAGATGTGTCACATCATGTTTCATTGTACTGTTGAATGTGTCACATCATGTTTCATTGTACTGTTGAATGTGTCACATCATGTTTCATTGTACTGTTGAATGTGTCACATCATGTTTCATTGTACTGTTGGATGTGTCACATCATGTTTTATTGTACTGTTGGATGTGTCACATCATGTTTCATTGTACTGTTGGATGTGTCACATCATGTTTCATTGTACTGTTGGATGTGTCACATCATGTTTCATTGTACTGTTGGATGTGTCACATCATGTTTCATTGTACTGTTGTATGTGTCACATCATGTTTCATTGTACTGTTAGATGTGTCACATCATGATTCATTGTACTGTTGGATGTGTCACACCATCTTTTATTGTACTGTTGGATGTGTCACACCATGTTGTTGGACGGATGAGATCGCAGGGCTTTGAATACCCATTTCATAAAACTTTTTGGAAAAGAGTTGTAGCTATCAGTTGATTCTTTGTTTTGCATTTCATTTTTGATTCTTCTGTAACATGCTCGATTGTTCCGTTAGATCGTCAGTCATGATTATTTCATTGGATGTCATGTTAAATGTGTTTTTTCTTTCAGTTATTACATCATGTTAGTTGTTCTATAGGATATAACATAATCTGTGATTGTTTTATTGGGTGTCTCATCATTTTCTGTCTTTTTGTTAGATGTATGAGTGTTAGATGTTTAAACTGGGTTTGTCAAATGGTATAGCAAAGAGCTGTAACTGTTAGTTGTGTTTGTAGTTTAATTCATCCTAAATGATTACACATAACCTCATCCTGCCTTGTGCCATCTTGCGCATTAAGCCTGTAAGAAACATGTTAGTAGTCAACTAATGATGCTTAATTTACTGCATGTTAACGCCAATAAGGAAACAGGTCGGGAATAATTTAGATTGGATTTTAATGTAACCATGTTTTCAAAGATTGTACCACATAGAGCTGATAAATGATACTGTTTATTGGTGTAAATGAAGGAGCTGTATAACATTTATTCTTCTTTACTTTAAAATTGTGCTCTGTTAATTCTTATATAGAAAGTTTCAATGACATGCTTCAGTGTTTTTGTAGATGTAGCTGTCTGTAGTTGATATCATCTCTCTAGCCATTCTTTATTGTTTTTGCTTGTCCTACATCCACTTGCTATTTTTCTAGAATTTGCTTAGTGTTATTAAAAGTTATGGGCACATTTTTTTCCTTATTCATTTAGCATCGATTTCCTAGCTCACTGTTCTGTTGTATTCACGAGTATTATTGCTTTTGTATTTGTTGGCATTAAGCTTATCTTTGTTTCTCAATGTATGGCATTATTATAGCATGTTTACTGTAAACTTGTTGATTCTGTAAAATTTTATTCATATTTGAAAGCATTTAAATTGTAGATATAGATCTGTTATCTATGAGAATTCTTGAACGTGTTGGTCTCTGAAAATAGTGAGAATCCTGTTACTTCACTTTTAAGCCATAAACTTAAATTTCTTAAATTTACCAGCTTAAAAATTGTTTAACTGTATTCTTTGAAAGTATTTTAATAAAAGGCTCACAAATTAATATATGCAAGTAAATTGGATGAATTAGCAGTTAAAATAGTTGCACGCTCGTATGTGTAATGATTAAATATAACATCTTGATAGAAACCTATGCTTTGTTGCATGTGTATCTTTAGTATTTAATTTAACATTTTTGTTTGACCATGCTTTGTGATGTCCCTGATATTTTTATTGTATGAAACTGACAACTTTGTTATGTATGCAGGCTTCTGTTTATCCCAGCAACTTTGACTATGAGCCCATAATAGAAATGAAAGATCTGGACAAACGGTTTGGGCCTTTGTCAAACTTAGCAGAAGCTCGGATGTGGCCTCGTATTGATCATGTGAGTGCCTTTTTTTGTAAAGGGCATTCATAGTGTCCCACTGTATTTGCTTGAATGGGTGATGTTTGGTCTTCTTTTGCAGTTCTCTTACAACTATATACATCAGGGTTGTTTGCTTTAGGCACATTGTTGCCTGCAGTACTAAACAGCTGTTTTACCATCAGTGCTGCTGGCATAAGCTTCTGGCTTATATCTAATACAACTGCAAGGGATGCTCTGTTATATAGATGTTGGTCATTACAAATCTCTTTACAAAAACATATACATTAAAGGCTTGGAATGTTATTAACATTTACAAGTCATTCTATGAGTACCACTATGTGCACATTGCATTTGTGAAAAATCCCTGGGCTGTTAGAAGTTGTGAAAAGTTTGCTATAAATATTGCTTCTGTGACAGGTACAACATATAGTTACCCTATACTCAAATATTGAATTACTAATGTGAATGTGGAAGATAAGAGGAGAACGTCACATTTGTATTTTTTAAAGTAACCAATCCTTGTTTAGGCAAAAATAAGTTTTTGGGTAAACAAACACAATCGAATACAGTAGATTTGGAAAGAGTGAATGAAAAGAGTGTCGCCGAAGTAAATAAAAAAAAAAATTTAAAAAAAGACGGACATATTTCAGTCACATTAAGAAGACATTACAATCTTATAAAAAGATAAAGCGTTTTGAAGATCGATTGCAGATATTTCGTTGTGAAGAAGACACCTGCTTGATTTATTGATTTAGGCAACTTTGGAGCTGCAATTAATGCTTGCATGGAACAACCTTTGGCAAGCAGGAATTCTAATAAGTATTCTGTAACTTCTTGCTGTCCTGGCTAAAATTTGAAAAAAAAAAAAAAAAATTTGAAAGATATTGTCAATACAATACTGAATCTCTAGGTTGAAGGTTAAAGTAAAGAGGATTACGGTTTTATCTGATATGGCTCGATCTCTTTCCGCAGAACAGCTAGCTGCCTGCCGAGAGCATCACTAAGAGCACAAACTCCATAGCTCTGGCGATGATATCCAGGGATCTCCGTAAAAATTGCACTCATTAACTGAAAAGCGCAGCCGTGAAATGAACCCACGACCTTTAGAGTCTGAGGCAAACGGCTTGACCACTTTGCCACGGAGATCCCCAATCTCTAATATGCATGTAGAAGTCAAGGCTCATTTATGTTTCAAAATTATGATAAGTTTATGTGTAGTTGTAAAAGAGTTAATCTAGGGTAACATTAAAAAAAAAAACAGTTTGTGCATGTCTTGTGACAGTTACCAGACATGATGGGATGGTTGTGTGTAGGTGAGGCATTATATTTTTAGTTAGGCAAGCGAGGAAATTTTCAGTTTAATTTATAACAGAACTGTATACTATGTTCTGTTACTTTAATCAGCTTGATTCTTCCTCTTTTTTCTTCTTAACATTCCCCAGCAGTAAACTGTGGCAGAAAGTTATGGTTGTTCATCCATTTCTGGACTTTAGTCTTGATCCAGAAATTGAGTTTTGAGTGCACATCCGTATAACAGATCTGGCTTTTTTGTATGCAGACTTTTGATTCCTCGCCTCTCAGGCAGATTTCAAAGGAAACAACACATAATTAGTGCCTCCTACAATATGCTCGTTATGGGGCAATGGGCATTTTTGTCTGTCCTTACATAGGGCTCAGGAACCCACACATTGGGAATTCATTTATTCATTTTGAATCTTCTGCTTTTGCTGTCAGTTGTCATAGAGAGGAATAGTTAGTGGTCCAATACTCAATGGGTAACAGTGGCTTTTGTCATTTGATGTTACTGTACCATTTTTTAAATGAGTGAGTGTCATTCAACCCCGCCAAGACCTCACAATGAGAGGTCAACACCCCTTTCTACAAAGTGCCACATTTCAGATGAGAATCACCAGGTTCAAGTCCCAGAAACCCTGTTCAACCTTTAGGTTATATTAGGGTCCCTGACTACCGCCGGCTGATTCTTTAAAATAAAAATTGGGTCCCATGTTGGGACGTGGTTAATGTCAAAATCCGTCTTTTTTGTGCATCCTCTTGCTCTTGTAACAGATCTTGGGGGGGGGGGGGGGGGGGGGGGGGGGGGGGGGGGGGGGGGGGGGGGGGGGGGGCCTGCATCACCTGTGTTGATAATTCTTTCTGCATTTAAACAAGATACCCAGACTAAAAATCCATGACAGATATTATGCAATTTTTATATAACAGCAGACAAAACCTAATAATATTATTGTTGCACATCATTAGATCTTCGATAGATGTTGTAGCACAATGGTTAGTTCTCATACTTACAGACACAAGTCTTCTGAGATCCAGTCACCAATACCATTAAAAACTTATTTTTATTTTTTTGACACCTGAGTTATCAAATGCTCTCTGTACTCAGCATTTGTGTCATTCCTCATGTTTGCTGTAAAAGTATTCAGCATTTGTGTCATTCATTATGATTGCAGTAAAAATACTCAGCATTCGTGTCATTCATCGTGATTGCCGTAAAAGTACTCAGCATTTGTGTCATTCATCGTGATTGCAGTAAAAGTACTCAGCATTCGTGTCATTCATTATGATTGCAGTAAAAGTACTCAGCATTCGTGTCATTCATCATGATTGCAGTAAAAGTACTCAGCATTCGTGTCATTCATCGTGATTGCAGTAAAAGTACTCAGCATTCGTGTCATTTATCATGATTGCAGTAAAAGTACTCAGCATTTGTGTCATTCATCATGATTGCAGTAAAAGTACTCAGCATTTGTGTCATTCATCATGATTGCAGTAAAAGTAAAGGACCTTTTTCTGTGTATTAAGGTGTGTGTTATTCATCGTGATTGCAGTAAAAGTACTCAGCATTCGTGTCATTCATCATGATTGCAGTGAAAGTACTCAGCATTTGTGTCATTCATCATGATTGCAGTAAAAGTAAAGGACCTTTTTCTCTGTATTAAGGTGTGTGTCATTCATCATGATTGCAGTAAAAGTACTCAGCATTTGTGTCATTCATCCACGCCCCCCCCCCCCCCCCCCCCCCCCCCCCCCTTCCCGTGTGATATAGTGGGGATTACTTTGATCTGGTTTGCAGTCGTTGTAGTTCATGAACAGCATGTTTTATTTCTGCTAGATCACTTCATACATAAATAATGACTGCTTAATCACTGCTATCTAGAATGAACATGTCTGGCATATGACAAATATATATTTTACTCATTTAGCAGCAATTGTGAGACATGTTGAAATATTCAGCTGATTTAATAGTAAGCAGCCAGTAGATTTCCTTATTTGGTTTGACCGTTCTAATTGTGACATTAAACAGCTCTTTCTAATTTGTCACATTTTTCATTTATTGAATGCTTTACCCCTTTAAACTGAAACACATATTTCTTTCAAGCTTCACACTTGCCTGATTAGTTATTTGTAATCATTGATGTTGTCTTTTAATGTTTGATGCACATATTTTTTGGGAAAGCTTTTTGTGCTTAATATGCTAGCTTTTGTCTGGGAAGTAACATAACTAAAACAGTTTATAATAAAGAGTGGCTGTGAAATTCTTTGCCTGTCTGCTGTTGGTTTCAACCCCTGTAAGGTGATGCTCAAGTGAAAAAGCCAAGGCATTGTTTATCATGACAAAATAAATGCACAGTTAAAATATTTTGATACTCCTTTATGGAAGAGTCAGTGTCTCCATACAGCTTCAAACAGTTTGACAGCAGACTGCTTCATGATGCTGCAGCCAGCATCATGTTGACCACTTCCCCCCACCATGTGTCGATTGGTCCATTAAAATATGAGTAGCGTCATATGCCTGATGCAACACTGGCATACCAAAAGTATCCTGTATGTTGTTACTTGTGAGCTACTTTCTGTTCCTGATGAGCTGCCCAGTGTAGATTGATTAGAGATTGTGATGTCTGGGGCCCAATTTTGGGGAAAACAAGAATAGAGCCACTGCCTCCCCAACATGCAGGCTGTAAGAGTCGACTGCGTGGGTGTTTCCTTCGAAGTCAGAGTGCATCTGCCTGAGAGGCAAGGAACCAATAGTCTGCATAAAGATAAGTCAGATCTTTAAAATGGATGTACATGCAACACTCCGGTTCTGGAATAGTCTAAAGTGCAGAGGTGAATGAACAGCCAGAACTTTCAACCGGAGTTTACAGCCGGTGAACGTGAAGAAGAAGAAAAAGAAGGTAATCCTAGGAACATCTGGCTATATTAAATCACTATGCACTAAATATTGACACTGATGGTGTTTTGTGAAGTTCCTACAATCTTTATCAGGAACGGAAAAAAGGAAATGGGGTTGATGTGACCAGAGCATGTGTTCTGCATCTACAAGCTTCAGGGTTCTACCTACTCCACCACAGCCTTTGAGTCTGACCACTCACAATGACCAGTCCAGTGTTGAAGGATCACACCAGAAGTATCACACTTACAGACATGCTCATGACTTACTACTATGACAGCTGCGTTATGCATTTTTACTTAGCATGTGCAGGCTTCAAGATTTTACTGAGACTAGTTTTTAACTAGTTTTTTTTTTAAATGGAGCAGTAAAGGATATTTTGTGTGACTTCTGCTGGTACATGAATGGAGCGGTTATCTGGCAACTCATCTGCAGTGATGTTGGAATCTTGACTGACTAACTAAATTATACCACGTTTGTTTTTGATAAGAACACCTGTAATGATGTAATGACTATATTTTGAAATGCTTCGTATTCATATTCTTATTTTTGAAATATTTATCATGTGTCAATTAGGGCCCTCCACCAGATCCTTCCTTCAACCCTCTAGCTGATCGAAGACGGAGTGACAAGAAGGAAGATGTTGTGGATCACAGACGACATCCAAGGAATTACGGTGGAACTTCAGACCTTTCTAGAGTAAAACAGAACATGAAACACTTGCGAGAGAAGGTGAATTATATTAATTAGTTGTTTTAGCAGGTTAACTAGTTTTAAAGTTTGCAACTAACTAATGGTAGGCATGCTCGGTGGAGAGTGACAAGCATCGCTTCCGTGGTCTCTGATAGTTAGCATCCTTTGGATCTTTGATGCGTGCAAGTGTATTGGGAAATGATCAAGCAGACAGAGTGACTGGTTTTGCATGACAAACTTATGCATGATGAGCTGGATATGGTCATGGCCCTTTGGGGGACATAAACAATGTGGAAATTTAAATGGATCATTATGGTCTGGAGAGAATGGTATTGCAGTAAGTGACCAGGGTACTTGACTGATTCTCAACATTCAGAGGAAATTCAAGAAGTGCATAGAATCAAACTGCTACTGGTAGAATTAGAATTGAAATCCCCACTACTGGCTGCTAAAGATGGAGAGGAGTGCTAATGTGAATTTCCCAGATTGTGTGATGTCAGTTCTTAAATCACCTCAGTTCAGTTTACAACCCATAAAAGTTGTTAAAAATCTCAGTGCTGACATTTCGTTGTTACTTTTTGACCTTTTTTTTCTAAAACTGTTAATATGTTGATATCAAAAATAGTTGTGATGTAAGCAGTATATGTCATATTTTTATCTAGAAATATATATTATTCAATATTCCTTTCATCTTTGTAATCATTGTCATCATCATCATGATTTTAATTGTTATTTGTTATTAATAATATTACTCTTATAATGTAAGGGCAGTAAATAGCTTGCAGATATCATATTTACGATACACATTTCTAGTTATGAACCACAGTTTTTTTTAATTTTTTTAAATTTTTCTATTTCACAGGAGAAAGAAAGACCTCAGGGAAGCAAACCCTTGGACATCGTGATGACTGGCAAGGAGAGGAGAAACCATGAGGACTGGAAGGCAGAGAGGGATCGATATGACAAGGAGCGTATTCAGAGGCAAATGAGTGATGGTGGCAATTGGAAACGGGCATGGGATGCAGACAAATTTGCACTAGAGTAATATTTTTTTATATCTTCTTATAATTGTAATTGACTAAAACACTAATATATGAAAAAAATATTTTCTAAATAATCCTGTTCTTTGATTGTAGAAAATCTGGTCTGTTATGACAATTTAGGGAAATGTCTTTCCTAAAATTAAAATATAAACATATTTCATCTCTTCTAATATGAAAAAATATACTGATGAAACTTGTAAGTGCCGCAGTTATCTTTTATTGTAACTGAATGGACTAAATCTTCTAGTATGTATATGTGATTAAAATGGTTACGGAGCATATACAATCAGCGATGAAAACGTCACTGAAGCATTTAAATTTATGTACAAGACATCTCTCGAGTTTTTCTGCTGCTCTTCTAGTCCTCTTCTGTCTTTCAGAGTCAGGTTTTGATGAGGCATTAGTTGCGAACCTCAGGTTCCCTAGTGGTTAAATTGTACCTCTTCCTTCCTATCACAGCCCACCCACACCCCCCATCCCCCCCACCCCTTTCCGGGCTATTACCTGTAAGTTTGACCCCCCTGAGGAGATTACAAATATCAGTCTGGATGGCAAGCCATCGGGTAAATCCCAGATACCCTGTTCAACATCCAAAGAAGTTATAATTAGTGCACCCTTATCAACCATACCAGACTGGTAGGGCCTGTAGTCCTGTGTGGAGATGGGTGAAATGTACTAAGCACTAAGGACCTCTTGTGGAGTCCAGTGTAGAGCATTTTTCCTGTTCCTTTTAGATACATGTCATGTATGTAGTTTTTGTGTTGACCTTGAAAAGGTTTTTGGAGGGGGGCGGGTGGCGGGAGTCGGGCCGGAGAGCCCCGTGCGGGGGGGGGGGGGGGGGGGGGGGGGGGGGGGTGGCCATGTTTTTGCTTGGCAGATTGACTTGCACATGTTCAGTTTAACGATTCTACCTAATATATCTGCTGACTCTTGTACTTGCCATGCTGTGTCAGGCTGTAAGGCTGTTTTCCTGTGTCTTCCTCTTCCACTGTAAATTCTGCTGTAGGTATCTTTTTTTTTAAATTGCTCACAAGTGTATCATGACCAGTCACTATTTATGGGTAAATTAACGAGTTGACTGTCCTTCAGCTGATATTTTATCTGGCCATATAATCCCCAGGAATGAGGAGCAGTCAGCATATTCTTTAAAAATGGAACCAGCCAAGCGGCCAGGTAAGGTATTGGCTTAATCCACTACCAACAGTAATTATTTAAAACATTGAATTTATTTCTTTTACCATTGATAGATTTAGCTATGTAACAGAATGTTGGTGCAATTAGTCTATGTGATTCATCTTGGGTTAGCCATATTTTAATTTTTGAAACCATTCATCATCATAGTCCATAACACTGTGTGTCACTGAGTCGCCACTTGCTGTTGACTGACTGTTCGACTGTTCAGTTTTCTCTGTCTGTGCTGGTTAGATACAGTGGACTGACTTGATGTTTGCTGCCTGTCCATTAGAATTGTGAGAAAATGTATCTGTTTGGTTTCATTACATTCAGCAGTCAGTGGTGAAATTCTGTTACATTTAATAGACAATTTGTAAGTAACTTCCTTCAGCTTCACATTCAGTCTTGCATAATCACAAATAATTGGATAGATGTTTAGTCACTTTATATAATCTTCGGTACATAATATCATCAGATTTAACAACAGAGACGCAATCTGGCCTGTTCCAACCACAAGGGAAACATTAGGCGAGGAGAGGAGTGGGTCAAAGTGCTACCTGAACAGTCAGACTTGTGTAGGGTTATAATCACACTGAGCCGAGAGTGCAGAGACTGGCCAGCAGGTACCACAGAGAGGGAAATTCAGCCATTAATTCAAGATAATGTTCACTCAGAAGATTTGATCATTTACACAGACGGTTTAGTGTCAAGAGGCAAAAGAAGTGCTTGGGGTTTCTTAGCAAAAGTTCATGGTCGACGTTTGGTGCTGGAGAGCCTAGCATATGATACCACAACATCCAGCTTAAGAATGGAGGTGGAGGCGGTCACTGCAGCTTTCTCTTGGTTAGAGAACATTACACACACACACACACACACACACCGTGTTTGTAACTGACTCAGAAAGCATGCTGAGTAAGATCGGGACAGGCATGCTTCATGCTGAGTGGCATGTCTTGCTGCGGGGGAAATGGGTGAGGAGTATTGTATGGATTTTTTTCCCCGGTAGACGCCGGTGTGTTGGGAAATGAACAGGCACACAAGACTGGCTGGCTCTGCACAACTTGGTGGAATACTGATGCCTGATAAGGCAGACATGGTTAGTGCCGTGAGGGAGAGCATGCACAGTTTGGAGGAGCAGATGGATCACCACAGTCTGGTGAGATTGATGCAGGGGGGAGTGACAAGAGGTTCTGGCAGATTCTCGAGGCTCAGAGAAAAGGCAAAACGGATGTTTAATCAGAATGCTACTGGCACCATTAGTATCGGAACTCTTCACTGGCTGCTGAAGATGGGAACGGGGCGCTTATGGGAATGCCCCGAGTACTGTGATTCAGTTCTTGAAACAAAATCAAATCAAATCAGGGAGACAAAATTGTATGGTACACAAGGAGATATAGACTGCACAATAGCTTTCATGAAGGCTACAGTCCTTCTGATATAAGTTTTCTGACAGAAGGATCGAAGAAGAAGAAGAATTAAATTCAGTTGTACACAGTTTGATCATGACTGTGGGGAAGAAGTACAAAACTGGACATTTGATAAGATCATACACATAACATCCCCATTTGGCTCCTAGTGCTGCAATTGGGGGTGGCGGAGGAATAAAAAGACCCCCTACCCTTTAACTATAATGTCATACAGGGTCACTGATTAAGGATGATTCCTTCAAAGTTAGAGTGCACCCGCCTTACAGGCAAGCAACCAAAAGTCAGATTCTGGAACAGGCCCAAAGTCCAGAAGTGAACGAACAACCAGAACTTTCCACTGGTGATTACAGCTGATGAACATTAAAACAAAAATTACATCTCACATTAGGAAGCTACAGCAGCACAATGACTGTTAACTATTTTGGTCATGAGTGTAATACCACTCTGAGGTAGATATAGCTACAGTAGCACAATGAATACTAACTATTTTGGTCATGAGTTTAACGTTATGAAATGTTGTCACAATCGAGGACACTGCACATTGGGCATTCCCATGCATGCTAAGTCCTCTGATGCAGCAGCCACTCCAAAGTACTTCTACTAATTGTTCCCATGAAAAGCTGGTTATATTGTCTCCTATCTCAGCCTCGAAGACGGCATAGAAGTGTTTCACCATGCTTTACTCCCATGTCACGCAATCGTATTAGTGTCGTGGATTCCTCATTATCCACTAGTCCAGTCCGTACAGTGTTGACGATATCTGCTCTGTCCATGCTTCTTCCGACATGCCTTAGTGCAATTCGCCTGTTGGTCCGCTTTCTCATTTCCATTTACGCTCGCATGACCTGGTGTGTAGATCCAGGTGAGGGCAGTTAAGTGCCATTTTTTAATGCTTTCTACCCATTCAGAGCACATACAGCCTGTTGCTATCTTCTGAACCATATTCATGGAATCTGATACAATTACTACCTGTATGGCGGTTTGCTCTAGAAGCAGCGGCTGTTTCCATGGTCATGCTTGAGGTGGTTGTCTGGTAAGCACCACTGTCATCCTGTATTGTTTTCCCCATTCTTTGCGCTGTGTGTGCCCATGCTGACCTTGATCTGCGCTTCACGGATCCATCTGTGTAGATGATGGTATCTTCTGGGTCTGAATGCTGATCTATCAGTTCCTTTACCTCTGTGTCTACAGCTGCAGGGATTTGAGGTGGATTTGTCAAAATATCTAGAGTTTTCAGTTTCATGCAGTCTAAAATGAGTATCAGTAATGTCTTTAGGGATGTAAAGGCGGCCTGTATAGTGTTGAAAACATCATCCATCAAGTACCTGTTGGTTGACAAATATATGGGATTAGCACCATATGCCCAGTGCACTCCATGATGTGTTGTTGGGTTGGTTAATAAAAATGTGACTACATTAACCCTGCAGAGAAAGGCTTCAGTTATAATTGTGATCTGGTTTTATTCGCGCTAAGTTCAGTGGCTTAAATGTTTGTCCTTAGCTGCATGTGATGGTTTCACTCTCCAAGATGTGAAAAAAAGTTCTTTACTTGGTTACAAAACATTAAGCAGAAAATGAATAATACACAATTGCGATATAATTTATTTGTATCTGTTGAGATATGTCTTCCCTATTTGGGTATGTGGACCCCAATGGGGTTAGGGGGGGGGGGGGGCAGAGGAGACTAGGCCCACTGCCACCACCACCCTATAATATATTTTTATCTGTTGAGATATGTCTTCCCTATATGGGTTCATGAACCCAATGTGCGGGGGGGGGGGGGGGGGGGGGGGGGGATAGGCCCAATCTCTCCCCCACCCCAACAAGAAAATACAAGGCAAATAATTAGGATTTTTAAGATGGCTCAGCCACATTATGAGAATGAATCCTGATATACCTGCCAAAACAGCTCTCACTTGTACGCCAAAGGAAAATAGAAAGAAGCGGTACTCAAAAAACAATGGGGAGATGAGCAATGGAAAGTGAGCTGAGTACTGCATCTCTGACATGGAAAACCGCTCTGAAGATTGCACAAGACAAGAAGGCATGGAGAGACAACTCTCACACATACACAACTAACCACCCACCCCCCCCACACACACCCAACCACAAACCTATCCACCCACCCCCCACACGCACACACCCTCCCACCCACCCCTACCCCCCACCACACACACCCTCCCACCTACCCCTACCCCCCACCACACACCCACCCACCCCACCCTAACCCCCTCCGCCCACACACACACACCCCTCCCCTACACCCACGCACGCACGCGAGAGAGAGAGACAGAGAGAGACGGAAATATATCTATATCTATATATATATATATATTTATTATTTATATATATATATCTATATATATATATATCTATATATTTATATATGTGTGTGTGTGTGTGTCTATATATATATATATATATATGATATAGATATTATATATATAGACTATATATCTATATATATATATAGATATATATATATATTTGATATATATAATATCTAATATACGATATATATATATATATATATATATATATATATACACAATTAGTGTTTTGCTGAAATTGGAAGTGTTGGGCTGAAAGGCACAGATCCCACAACTGAACTGTAAACCACAACACAATGTCCCAACCACAGTTTTAAGAGTGACTGCATACAAAGAAGATGAGATCTGTCTATGCTATATGGTCATGTTTAACCCCATTATTATAATTTCTTTTGAATCAGTAGAGGCTATATAATATATTGATGATTTTCTTTTGTTGTGTTTTTCTCTAAAGCTGGTCGTATTGGCAGTGGTCGATTTGACCGTGGTGAAAGAGATGACCATCCTCGAAGTGCTGTTTTAGTGAAAGGTACTAAAGATTGCCTCTTTCTTAGTGTGCAGTAGGGCTGTACATCAGCTTTTCACATAAGTCACAAAGCATGAGATATTTGTAGGATTTTTAGGAGGAAAATTAGTAGCTGTGTCAAATATAGATGAGACTAAACAATATCATCATCAAATGCCTTGCCAATTTCCTTCTTTATATTTTGCTGTCTCCATGATAAAAGACAAAAGAATTTTTTGCTTGTCTTTCTTTATCTCTCTTTCCACAAATAATTCCAGTTGTCATTTTTTTTCTTTTATTAAAAGTCAAAACAATTTTGTGTATTGGACTGCTAAAATTTTGTACAAATTTATTCCAAATTGTCAGTACCATACACTTATGTACTTTCTTAGTGATGTATTCCAAATTGTCAGTACCATACACTTATTTACTTTCTTAGTGATGTATTCCAAATTGTCAGTACCATACACTTATGTATTTTCTTAGTGATGTATTCCAAATTGTCAGTACCATACACTTATTTACTTTCTTAGTGATGTATTCCAAATTGTCAGTACCATACACTTATGTACTTTCTTAGTGATGTATTCCAATTTGTCAGTACCATACACTTATGTACTTTCTTAGTGATGTATTCCAAATTGCCAGTACCATACACTTATTTACTTTCTTGGTGATTTATTTCACAGTTAGCAGTACTATACACTTATTTACATTCTTGGTGATTTATTTCACAGTTAGCACTACTATACACTTATGTACATTCTTGGTGATTTATTTCACAATTAGCAGTACCATACACTTATGTCCTTTCTTAGTGATTTATTAAAAATTTTCAGTACCATGCACTTATGTATTTTCATGGTGATTTATTCCACAATTAGCAGTACCATACACTAATGTACTTTTTTTAGTGATTTATTCCACAATTAGCAGTACCATACACTAATGTACTTTTTATTTAGTGATGATCTCACAGTTAACATATTGACATATTTGCAGCACATATAGGTTATTTCTTTCGAAAGTTGTGTAACATTTTCAGATCTAAAAGTTAGTGCACATTTTTAGTGTTTTACTGATCAGAAACACACACGATTCTGCTAGGCTGTGCCATCTTCTGCCTTCTTTAAAACCAAACGAATTACTGGAATTGGTAACAGTATGCGGTATGATAATATGGTTTAAAAAAATAGATATATGTAACAGACTTTTATGGTTAAGTATATTTGGTATAATTGCTTTCCTTGCCTTTACACATTACATTTCCTGCATGATGCCTTTATCAGTGAGCTTGTGTAAAACACATTAATGTATTCTGTCTAAGCCTATGATTAACTTATAATTCAGTGTAACACGCGTTATGTGAAATCTAACTGATTTAAAACAGTTTTAGCACATCTGATTTCATTATCTTCATATTTCCCCATCCATTATCTCCTCACTAATACAGAAGCTTTGGAGAGACTGAATTTAAAAAATTAAAAAAAAAAAGGGTTGATATATTTAAAAAACAAAAACAAATAGAGAGAGCGACACATTTAGATACACTGAAAGATACAACACTTTTATAAAAAACCATACTGTAGGGGAAAGTTTCAGGTAAGTGAGAGAGAGAGCTAAGCAGGAGGACAATGTCAAGGCATGGACAGATATCAGTCACAGGGTGTGTACAACCAGACTGGGAGACGGTAGGTGCAGGAGATCCTTTGCAGCCTCTGCAACTAGCCTTCAGTGTAGAGATGGCACATGATTTCACGATACTGAAGCTGAAACATATTCAGGAATCAGATACAATTATGATTAGACTGTTCTTCATCTGGAATCCACAAGGTATAGAAAAAAAGGGAGACTCGAAAATCCAAGGAGGTTAAAAGGGCAGCAGGAGATTATAATGTTGAAAAGACATTACAGAAAATCCCAAAGATAACAAAGGATCCAACAGTGCTTGGCAGGATAGTGGTTCTTTTTAGCCTATGCTACAGGGGAAGTTAGCAGCACAGATGTATAATGAAAAAGAATAGGAAGAAGAAGCATCAGCAATTGACAACATATAATTAGTGTAAGGAATATGTGATACATAAGCAAACTGTCCATACAATGCTTACTTTAAAATGTTGCTTTCTGTATAACATTTAAAAAAGTTTTTAAACTACAATATATGGCAGTTTGAGACAAATATTTCAGTGTCTTAGATCAAATATTTCTGTCTTAGATCAAATATTCCAATGTCTGAGATCAAATATTTCAGTGTCATAGCTGACTTTGTGAGTGGCCTAACAATCACTTGAGTGTTAATGAATCATATTGCTTAATCCATATAAACAGGGCTTTCCAGAGCACTTTTTCCAGGTCTGTGTTAACACACACTTCAAACACAGTGCTGGCTGTATAGTGTTAAGCGTAGTGGCTTGTAAGATTTGCTGGTACACACAGATGATGATTGCACTGGCTTCCTAAGCTTTGGCATGGGCTAGAAAAAAGGCATGGTATTTTTGCTTTTCATTTTTCATTTGCTTCTCATTTACAGTGATGAATCTGACAACTTCTTTTGATTAATTTATAGACTTAACACTATGGTGAAGTAGATCACTTTACACTGTGGTGAACTAGATCACTTTACACTGTGGTGAACTAGATCACTTTACACAGTGGTGAACTAGATCACTTTACACTGTGGTTACCTAGATCACTTCACACTGTGGTGAACTAGATCACTTTACACTGTGGTGAACTAGATCACTTTACACTGTGGTGAACTAGATCACTTTACACTGTGGTGAACTAGATCACTTTACACTGGGGTGAACTAGATCACTTTACGCTGTGGTGAACTAGATTACTTTACACTGTGGTGAACTAGATCACTTTACACTGTGGTGAACTAGATCACTTTACACTGTGGTGAACTAGATCACTTTACACTGTGGTGAACTAGATCACTTTACGCTGTGGTGAACTAGATTACTTTACACTGTGGTGAACTAGATCACTTTACACTGTGGTGAACTAGATCACTTTACACTGTGGTGAACTAGATCACTTTACACTGTGGTGAACTAGATCACTTTACACTGTGGTGAACTAGATCACTTTACACTGTGGTGAACTAGATCACTTTACGCTGTGGTGAACTAGATTACTTTACACTGTGGTGAACTAGATCACTTTACACTGTGGTGAACTAGATCACTTTACACAGTAACTGGCATAGAAGATAATCACTTTCTGTGATGTTAATGCAACATATACTTCTGTAGGTTGTCTTATTTTCCACATTATAGCTCCACTCACAATCATTTCTAATGGTTGAATTGCTAGCAGCATTAGGGTGAGGCACTTGGGTATCAGGCAATAACATATCATAAACTATTAAATCACCATATTTGAATACCTGCCACCATTAAGGAACACATGCTGAGCCAAAAATACTATTTCTTTAAGTTTACACTATTATAGCTAACATGGTACTCAAACACCAGTAAATGGCAGTGATATTCTAAACTAACAGTTGTGTGGCACTTTAAACGTGATGTAATACACACATTTAATTGTGGCATGAAAATAATTGATTGATAAAAGTCTGCAATCACTAAAACATACACTCTATATAAAGAACTATTAAAACGAAAACCACTCATGCATTATAGTGAATTAACTGTTGTGTATATTAATGTAGCATTGCAGATGTACACATAATGGACTAATGTAGCCAGTAGGTATACAGTTAAAACAGTTATATTTATTTTTATTTTTCTAAGGGCTATTTAAAAACTGTTTTTCTGCTACTTATTGTTCACCATGTTTTGTTACTTTTTCAAAATGTGCTTCTACATTTGTTGGGTTATTCATTTGAAGTGGATTTTATTTCTTTTGAGTTTATCAGTGTGTTATTTATATGCTTCCCCCCAGTCTTTTTCTAAGATTCTTCTAATTTGATTTATTGTGATGGCATGAATATTATCTGTCCTTGGCAACTGGTATTTTTAAATAAACCAGACAACATATAATACATATATGATACATTAATTGAACCACTAACATTTGAAGGGAAATTATACACATCTAATGTTTGCTGAGTAAATAGCTAGACTACAAATAACTGTTTTTTTATATCTTCAATTTTTGTAAACAAAAATACCTTTCATATGCAAACAAGAATTAAGTTAATTGTTCACTGTAACTGCAAATTTGCTTGACAGCAATATATGTGATCTGCTTTGTCTTTTCATTTCTTTCCCACCATCATCCTTTTATGTTATTAACATTTTTGTTATAGCACATTTCTCAGTAATAGATCAACAGTTTGTTTCTGTTACTCATTAGCAAATATGTACCTTATGTATGTTAATTATCAGTATGTATATATATATATATATATATATATATATATATATATATATATATATATATATATATATATATATATATATATATATATATATATATATATATATATATATATATATATATATATTTATGTTACTAATTAGTATAAATTTACCATATATATGTTACTTATAAGTGTAGTTTTAGCTATGCCATTTTATGTTATCACATCCCAACGTATGTTCAGTCCTCCAATGCAGTGCCCACTCCAAGTTACCTCTACTGGTTGTTTCCATGAGGATTTGGTTATAGTTTCTCCTGTCTTTGCCTCAAAGACAATATAGACGTGCTTCACCAAACTTTTCTCCTCGGTCACACAGTCGTGTTAGTGTCAGAGATTCACTATTATCACCCAACCTAGTCCGTACAGCATTGATGATATCAGCTCTGTCTATGCTTCTTCCCGTTTGCGTGCATTACTTGCCAGCTGGTCAGCTATTTCATTACCATTCACTCCTGCATGCCCAGGTGTGTGGATCCAGCTGTTGGAGGTTAACTGTGTCTTTCGAATATTTTCTACTGATTCAGAGAGTAGACTGCCTAATGTGATTTTTTGAAGCATGTTCATAGAGTCTGAAATGATTACCGCATGTATGGCCACTTGTTCTGCTACCCATGCGAGTGCTCTGAAAGCA